TTTTGTATGCACTTTGCCCTCTAGGCAAGCAGCTTCCCAGAAGCATTCAGAGAAAGCAGCTACAGGCAGGATCTGCTCCTCTATATCTGTTAGATGTGCAAGAAATGGGTTTGCAAGAAACTGTTGTAATACTTAGAAATGGAGATCATTCTGTAATGAGCTTCTCTCCTCAGAGGGAAAACTCCTAAACATAGAAGCCAAGGCTCTGCACAATAAAAGACAACAAAGAGAAAGAACCTTCCATGTGTCCTTCTTTTTCCTACTGTTGTAAATTACCAGAGATAGCTGAGAGGGACTGCATCCTCCACAGACTGCAGCCTGGCTCTGATGTGTGTTTCTGTGTGCTAAGGCAACTCAGATTACATAATGCAATAATAGGAGTGAATTGCAATAGACAATGCCATGGAAAGTGAGTTCAGGGGCGTTAGTATGATATCCTGGTTCTGCTTTATTCTTCATTGTTATAAAAACTCACTCTCTCCACAAGAATCTCTCAATTTCTTTCTGAGTCCTCAGGAATAGGAAGGCCTCCAACCACTGTGCTTTCCTATTTTATTTGCCCTGATCAGTTCCCTGCCATGCACCGTTCACGTATCAGATCTAGAAAACCATTGAAGTTAAAATCCTACCTGTTTTGTGCTACAGGCTTGCCTTTCCCCTGTGTTAAAGAGTATCCACTTTAATGGTGTATACCAGCAGGATTCAGAGACCAGGAATAGAAGGGAAGACACTGAAATAGTCCTCATTTTCCACCTTACCAGAAACACTCTACAAGTTTATGCTACCTCCAGTCATAGACACTGCGAAAGCATGTGACCCCTCATCAAGAAATGATGAGATCAAGATGAGATCAAGAAATATAACGTAGATTAAAAATGATAACATTATTTTGACCAATCTGTTGTTAACTACTTGATAATCAAGGTAGACATACTTATGTTTTTGACCTTCTGTATTTTCACATTTTAAAACTGTTCTCTGGAAATGATGTACATTTGTATACAAGTGACAGCTAAAAATGAACTGTACTTTAATAACTTCTCCAAATAGGTTTTTATCTGGTATATCTCATGGGTGCTGTTGTTTTCATACAACTCTCCTAATACATTATTTTGCATTTAATATTTTAGGATATTTTAAATGCAGGGAAAGCTTGGTGTTTATAATGCATTGCACTGGACAAGCAGTTTTTAGCAGCACTACTTTCAAGTGGCTGCCTGCCTAAAACATATTGAGGGAATAGAAAATACTCCATGTGGTAAGCATATTTAAAACAAAGTTAATTCAGTTCTAGTAGCATTTAAAGTGTTTTGCTAAGAACTGTAACTGATGTCCATACATTTCACTTGCAAGTATCTATGGGAAGCCATGGCAGAACTGAAATAGAGGAGAGGCAAAGGAGAGTGAAATAAAAAGAAGACTATTTTACATGTTTTCACTCCTTTGTCCTGAATTTCATACACTCATATGGATGTCATTCTGGAAGAAAACTGGCTTCATGTCCATCTATTCCAGCTCTTCCACTGAGCAAACCTCGGCAGAGGGGAAGTACAGTATTCTGTGGAGGGTCTCATCAGCTGTAGGGGAATAATAGCAGCAGACAGCTGGCTCTTGGCAAGTCATTAATAATTTCAAGTCTCCAGGAGCTCAGCTGCACCTCCTTGGTCCTGTGTTACGTATTCCACCTGGGAGGTAACCCTGGATATGTAGAGAGCACCAGTTCAGAGCCACACTACAACCTCTCTACTGGTTCCTTGATTGCCCCACCCTGCAGAGTCACTGGGTTGTCAGCATCTGGGCTCACACTGGGAGGCTGCTCTGCTGCTCTGACAGCAGACCTGTCCTCCTAAGAGTTCATCCAACTACCTCAGAGTTCATCCACTTCCACCTGGAGCTGCCCAGCCACTGTTCTCTCTCCCTTGGAGCTGACTGTGTAGCAGTAGGTTTGTCGCAGGCAGCACGTGTGCTCTGGCCCTGGATCAGCTGAGTTCAGGACAGATTTAGTCTGCCTTTAGCTGAGAGGGTGCACATCTAAATCTGTTCTTCCAAAGATTACAGAAGTTCAGGCACTGAGCTGTTTGGTGCACTTTCTTTGAGATCTGTGGTTTGGTTGCCAGTAACTTTAATAGAGCTGGAATATAAATCATACTGAATGTAAAACATTTGGGCTTCAGTGTGTCGGGCAGATATCCATGTAGAGAGAAGGGTAATTAAATCCTCTTGCATTTTAAACCTTACAGAATAAGGCTCTGGCCGACGTCTTGCACATGTGGGAATTTTCTCTGGTGACGCCTGTTCAGGTTGCCAATACTGTGGATAAATAAAAGGCTTAACAATTAAGAAAGAAAGAAAACAAAGATAATACACCTGTCAAACTTTTTGTATTATTAATGCACAAATGAAAAACCGTGATGCTTGTGCATGCTGTTGCCCTTAATACCAGCTGTTGCCTGTGCACATGGGCTGGTATTTCACATGGCTGAACAGCCCTGCTGCCAGCAAGCACTCAAACAGTCAGCGTCAATAACAGCAGTCTTCTCACACTCCATACAATTTAAGCTATTCTTCAAATTAATAATAATACTTAATAAAGCTTCATCTCTCATTTGCAAAGAAAACCATCAATTAATGTTAATCAGCATCCTCAGAATGTGATCAGGCTGGGCTTGTAGCTGGACGTGCCGAAACAGTTCAACTGGCAGATGGAGCGTTTTCCAACTATCCTAATTAATGACTGCTCATTTCAAATGTTAATGCAATTAAAGAAATAGGCAAAACAAATAAAAATAATATACAGTATGAAACTGCCACTGTCAGAGAGATTTCTGATCAAAAAAGTCAGCCTCAGTCAAATGCAGAAAGGGCCCAACCATCCCCTCCTGGCTAAATAAGTTCTGAAAGAGCTGGGGCTAGCTTTTGTTACTTATTTCCAACCGTTTCTCTGGGAATGACATTTATATCACTTCCATTTTAACCTCCTGGCATCGACTGAGGAATTGCTTCTGTAAGTGTTAGAACATTTTCCTGCAGAAAATGAGAAGGGATTCCTTTCACATAGTATGGGCTTTTTTGGTGTAAGATTTAGACTTGCCTTGCTTCTTGTCTTTTCTATTTGAAATAATTGCCTGCATTCTTTTTAGGAGTTTTATTTTCTGTGAACCTTATATACCATACCACTGATGTAGGACTGCATTTGTTTGGGCTTATAAAGAGTTCAATTAGCCCCTTAATGCCTAGTTCAGTCACAATTAAACCTTCCCTGTTGACTCAGGATTGGTCTTTCTAAAGGCAGTGGAGGTGGTTTTAATTATTCATTCTCTGGTTTGTTTCTTACAGCAGTCTCAGCTGTGCTTTATTATTCAAAGGTTAATGCAAACTGAGAACTGGGTAAATTAAATTTGTTTGGCAGCTAGCAACCTGATGTATTATCGACACTGTGAAATATGGGTGGCAACACTTCTGCTATTGTGCCACTTAAAAAGCCAGATTTCATCTTTAAAACAATTGCTAGTTTTGTTACTATGGCTGATAGAAAATGAATGCTCCATAATGTTATAGTCTCTGTAACCCATTATTGTTGAGAAAGCAAGGTAGTTTAGAAAGCCAAGAAGCATTAACAGCTATTATAGAAAATGGATGTAGGTACCATGACTAATGAAGTGCTCTGCACAGGACTGAGTCGTGCAGCTGTATTCAGGGAATCGTGCAGTCAGGAGTCTTAATGAAGGGAGCCCAAGGAATTGCAGGTGAAAGCAGGTTTTATTAACTTCCAGTGAGCAAAACGAATAGTTGAGCAGTGAACATGACATGATGTCGTATAATAATTGTATACCTTGGGTACATTGTGAGGCATGGAGCATAGCCAAGAGCTTTCAGCTGTTCTACACACTGAGTGATTCCACAAACCCCTGTACGCTGCAGAAACCTTCACTGCAAACAAACATAACAAGAATTGTTTCACAAGAAATGCCTTAAGACAATACCACATCACTTCTTTGAGATATCTACCAGCACTGCCTTCCTCTAAAAAATATTAATCAGATATCTGGATGTCACCATTCCAATTTATCCTAATTAAAATTCAGGTCCTGTAATCAGCAGTCTGTGAATGGAAAAGAAGTCTTCATATGATTTAAGAGGCCATCCTGAGTAAAATACATATTTGTATGGGCAGGCATTATGTTGCATGAAAGGAGGCTGTGTTGGGTTTTAGAAGAATCATGCCCAAGAACTTTTATTAGTTAGTTTTTTATTTCATCTTTTTTTCAGGAATTCACCATACGGGTGAGAGATTTTTCTTGTTTCATACAGGATTATGTTTTGTACATTTTGAATATTATTTCAGTACTGTGTTTTAAACTAAGGACTTTGAATTAACATAATCCAACACTTCCTGTTGTATTTAACATAATTAACATAACCCACTTCCTGTTTATATTATTTTTAAGATAGGACAATTATTGCAGAGCAAAGCAGCCTTCTGTGGTAGTGACTTAGGTTAGATAGAGACCTTAGGTTAGGAACACGTGCAGCTGCAAGGTTGGTTGTACCCTGCTCAGTCTTTAGTACAGTCTGTGCTGTGTAATGTGTGTAATTACACTGCTACTGACTGAGGAGGTAGGTGGATGAGGAGGTAGGTGAAAATAGGATGGCTTGTGAAGCAAGACAGTGACAAGACATCTCAGCAAAGCCTCTATATCCTTGCGCTGTAAATACTTCACATCTGCCCACTAAAATATTTGAGATAAGACAGTTGGGAATTTTTCTGTGCTTATTTGAATAATTTATGATGTGATTTTAATACTTCTTCCTGGCTGAATATATCACTTCTCTGACAGAGCTTAGGACATCAGATGCATGTTCTATCTAACTTAATGAATGTGATGCACAATTTTAGTTTCTGGTGTTACAGCAAAACCAGCGGTACTACTGGTAGAGTATAACTGATGCAGTATATCCTTGATTGTATGTGGTTATTGTATTTTTGTTTTCTATTTTAGTGCTGGACCCAAAGGAGACAACATTTATGAATGGAGGTCAACTATACTGGGGCCTCCAGGGTCTGTATATGAAGGTGGAGTTTTCTTCCTTGACATAACCTTTTCACCGGACTATCCCTTTAAACCACCCAAGGTTAGTAGAAGGATATTCAAAGTCTGATAGGAGTCTTCTCCTGCTGATATCTTTTAATGTGTGTGTTGGTATATAATTTTAGGATAAAACATAAAACTTTCAAAGCAATAATGAATTTTTAAACTTGACTCTTTTGATAGAAAGAATTTAAATAACTGGCTACAATTTGCTTGCATGCTGCCAGTGTAGCAGAATGAATATGGATTTATTTAGAAAAAGGTTGCATAATTTCCAGTAGCGATTTTTTTAATTTGGATTTGTTTCTAATATGAAAGTGCTTATATTTGAGTTACACCCTTTAGAAGTAGCTGAAGATATTTAATCTTTCTTGTTGACCTGTATAATTCACTGGGCTTGTATGGCTGTCTGAACAAAAGTATGCACCTATTTCACTACCCCATATAGTATCTGCAGGTGCAAGATACTATAAGTAATTGCTTTACATCAGTTTTCTGGAAGAATGTGGAAATATGGCACGAAAGTCCAGAAACTGGAGTGACAGAGATTTACAGAAATCCTTAGGAATTCTTTTTATAATGCTGTCTGCAATGATACCAGCCAGAAACAGAGAACTGTATCAATAACAAAAAGGTGATAGATCATTACCATGATTAACTTGAAATGTCAAACATGAAAAATCTAGTGGTTAGGAAGATTGAAAAAAAAAAAAGTTGGAATGTGGCAATACACAGCATCATGTTAGCAAAGGTAATAATTGCTGAGGAGGATCTCCAAATGGGACTTTATTGCTTGATCACAGGATTATTGCAAACCACCTGCGTAATGCATTTATAAAAAAGGCAAACATCCTCCTGAAATGCATCCTCTGGCCTACAGAGAGAAGGAATTACCAGTGTCAGATACAAAATGCTTGGAAGTCTTTATCTGGAAGATTGAGCTCAAATCTTAACACACGTGTTTGATAGTAGGAACAGAATCCAGGAAAATTTATCCCACAGAGTTGTTAATAGAATCAAATAAATTGATGGGGCTTTCTTCCATGAAACAAAGTAAAAAGAGGTGCATTGTTCATTCACCTTGCCACTCTGGAGAGTGTGTGTGGAAGACCCCCATGGAAGGAGCTATGAAATCAAAAATATTTACCTTGTTTCCGACACATTTATGAAAGGATGGGTGTGCCATGTTGGTCTATAATAGAAGAATATTGCATTAAAAGAGAGAGAAGCCAGTTCCTGTTTGATTACTTTGAGCTTTGAGTAGATTATTGAAGTATAAGTGTCTATAAGTAGAATTTTAATGCCACAGTAGTAATGTTTACAGTAGTAGATAACGTTGATATTACCTGGTCTATAAGTAGAATTTTAATGCCACAGTAGTAGATAACGTTGATATTACTCGTAAAGGTTTTGTAAAAGAAATGAGATATGTGAATGCAAAGCACTTGTCATTTTGTAAATGGAACTTTCCCAGTAATGTAAAGATGGGTGAATATAGCAGTATTAGAGATGGTCTAAATTTGTTTCCCACTTTTAGTGTTCCGGTTTAGAGAAGCCTTGATGTCACTGAGAGGTCTTAGAGGAGTTGTACACCTTTCTGACTTCACAGTTTCAGATTTAGGCAGCTGTTGTTACATGGTGATAAAAGAAATTGAAACTTTATGATGTCTCCTTCAGTTTGTTAAAGCTCTGGGCCCGCTGAACTGGGGTCAGTCCTGTTCTGTTCTTCCCCTGTCCTGTTTTTCCTACCTCCCCCCAATCCAGCCCACTGTCTGGACAAGGTCTGTTTGAACAAGCCCTATTTATTTACTTCTTTCTTGGGCTTAATTTGTTTGTGCTAGCTGCCATGCAAGAGTTACATTCAGTCCCCCCAAAAAGTTAAAATTCTAATTTTTAGGGGATAAAATGGCTTTATGGCATATAAAATAGACGTTGAAGTTCTCTCAGAGAGCTAATACGTAAGAACAAGCTCTGAAAGACAAGTTACAGGGAGGTCTTTTGTCATTCTCTCTGTGGAATCTGTTGAGTCTTGAGGCAGTGTATTCAACAGACACCCTTTTAAAATAGAAGTTGAAGGTCCAGTTTGCTATTTCACCACAAGGTAAAGTCTTTTTCAATCTGCACTCAGTTGTGCTTGGCAACTGTGTTATTTTGAGACATGAGTAATGCAGCTGTGCATTGCTTATTAATGAAATGTCAAGCAAAGGGGTGGTTCTTGTCCTGCTTCGTAATAGATTTGATTGTCTGCCTTTATCTCGATGCCAGTTGTCACTGTAAGAAATGTGTGCATATAAATCATATGAAAATGTACTGCTTGATAAAGGGTAAGAGAATTGATGATGCCATATTGTCTTAGTAAACAGCCAGTTTTATGTTGAGGGGAATTGTCATCTGCAAGAAAGTGATGGGTGCGTGTGCACAGGGGACTAATGTCAGATATAACTGTGCCGTAAGCATGTGTTGAACACATGGATTCTTACTCTATCCACTTCAGACACAGTTCTAAATGACCCCTCTTTTCAGTCCTGCTGTATGACCTTGCAGACTGTTGCTATGTCATTACACCTATTTTCCAGCCCTTATGAAACTCATTCATAGGTGAAATAGTTAGGGAAATCCCTTTAATTAAGCAGCATGGGAAGACCACTGCTTATCATAAGGTAGTTGCCTGTCAGCACTGCTGGGAAAGGGTAGTTAAATATGTTCTCCCCAAGCTGATCTCTATCAAAAGAAAGGTAATGAGTACATGCAATGTAACACATGGCCTCGTGGTACAGTGCTGTCTGTGTGCTGGCATCTCTTCTACTTCTCCACAAGATTTGTGATATTTTGTGCTATTCTCAGAATCATGGATTATAGGGTTATGGGCACAGATTATTTTAGATTCTTTATAGTTATATTCTAATTTTTTTCTAACTCTTTATGGCTCTATCGTCTTAAAAAACCTAGGGATAAAGTACAAGACTGTGAAATGTACTGAGAAAGACATAAAATGTATCCTGAGTGTTGGCAAGATTACCGCCCTGTAAGAGCATAGCAGAAAGGGTCTAATTCACATTTTTCACTATGATTGAATTCATAAATTACTCCTGAGATTTCTGTGGACCATTTTCGTCCCTCATTCACTATGAAGAAAGGAAATATTTAAACAAGTACTGTCAAAATTGATCTTCCAAAAATGTGACCACAAAAAAACCTGGGAAGAAACAGAAACTGTACTTCCCAGATGCAACTACTTGACCCAGCCTGGAGTTCCAAAGGCAAATTCCCATGTCACATAATATATTCACTGTTAAGGGGCCTAATCCACAGTGTGTTAAAATCTGCAGAAAGATCCCTTTTCCTTATCTCTTCTCTGATGTTGTGCACTCCATTATCACATCCATGCATGTGTATGTCACACATGGATCTTGAGGAGGGTAAAATAATTTTTGAAGCAAGAAAAATGCATTGAAAATTGATTTTGGATATGTGTCTTTTATTTTTATTACCATTATTAAAATATATTTGTGGTGTAAATATTGTTCAATTTGTATTACACAAAGTTGTTGATATTTTTTGAGGGGTCCAGATTGCTTCTATAAACACTGTTGATGCCTGTTCTGATTGGTGAGCACTCTGTTGCATGTTGGAAAACATTCATTAAATAAACAACAGAGACCACATTTGTACAAGTAAAGATGTTCTATATTTTGGTTTTTCTTTTTAACAAATGTACAAAGTAGTTTTCATTTGTTCTTCTAGATAGTTATCTGCTTCTCTACTTTCCCTACATCACATCAAAGAAAGTGAATCACTCTTTCATTCAGAAGAAAAAGTATCTACCCAAATTTTCACTTTTAGATATTTTTTCAGTTTTTGCATCTTTGTAGCCTCCATCATTCTTCAGATTTTCAAGTTTTATCTCCATTTTCCACATTAATTCTCCTGTGTGATCCAGTTCACATTTCAGGTTTTGTATAGTAACACATCACTGTCCACCAACAGGTCTTTCCCCTATGGATCCATAGTTTTCATTTTGTCTGTCCCTTGCCTGTCAGTGTTTTTCCAAAGTTAAACCATAATCATAGAATCAAATTAAGTTACTCTTTACCATCACAGAATAAACCATGAGGTAAGTCAGAGCATAATTTGCTCTCACACTGTTAATTTCTTCCCCTTTGAAGTCAGTCTGTTTCAGTATTTCAGCTTTGTCACATGCCTTGAAACTGGACTCCAAATTTTTTGAGCCAGAGGTCACTGACCTTCTCAGCTCTGCTTTCCTTGTAAATCAGTGGCATTTGGCTTCACTCACAACTGCAGCACACTCATGCAGAGGAGGGAGTTGTTCTTCCCCAAAAAAGTTTACCTCTGTGTGACCAATGCAGCTTGGTAGGAGTGATGGAGGGCCAGCCCAGCCCAACTCTGATTTAGCTCTACAACCAGGAAACAAGATCCTTAGAACAGCTCATCTGAGAACTAACAAATTAGCTTTGGCTTTCTGGGAGGCTCTAATCAATTAAAAATATTTCCTTACCTCCACTGTGAGGAAGCTGCTGTAGCATTGCAGAAATGAGCTGCTGAGTTGGTTGGCTGAGTCAGCAAGAAAGCGGGCGGGCTGCACGATCACCGTTCTCCTCTTGGCTGCATCCTCAGTGTCACGTTGGTTTTATGAGATGCCAGACAGAAGGAGGGTATAGAACACACAAAGTGAGGCATAGATGTGGTGATGAGCTCACTTTCTGCTTAAGGCCAGATGCTGCTGAGGCTTCAATTTCGGTCACAATGTGAGGTTTCACTTTGGCCCAAAAATACAGCACATCCCTCATAGCATAAGGAACTGAAAAATAGACAAAGCCATGCCCTGTCCAGAGCAGAAATTAATACAAATGCTTAGATTACCTGCCAAGGAAATAACCTTACATTTTTTCAGTGGCTTAATGACCCCCTCAACTTTTTCTAGAAATACTTCTGAGATTTCTTTTTCCCGCTAAGTATCTTCATTTCATCTTTAATGGATTCAGACAGTTTACCCCTTGGCTTTAACAGAGGAAAGGTCTCTCT